ATGCTGCTTTATGTAAGTTGCTAAGCTTTTTAAAATTTTGAAAGAAAATAATTTTTTTAGGTTTTATATATCCAGTTGAATAAACAAAAAATCATAAATTACTATATCAATACCATAGAATTCCACTATAATTTATCAAGCTTAGTAACTAAGCTGTATGTCATTCTAAAAAAACATTTTGAGCAGACTTAAGACACAATCTACCTCCTTGAAATCTTGGTTCAAAAAGATGAATGGCATCCAAACACGTTAAAATTGCTGAGAAAGCCACTAGGGGGACATTCTGAGCTTCCGATTGGTTATTCATGTCATATATAGAAGAAACTGTATATAAGGGAGCGTTTCCAAAAATGGAAAGAAGTGGGCAGAGTGCCACTGTGTGATTTATTACATGATCAATATCTTAGCAAATTGAAAAGATAAGAGGTTTTTATTTTATATTCTAGCTTGTTAATATCAGTAATTTGAGTTCCTACGAAACTACAGACTTAGTATTTTGACATCACAAACATCTAATATGAACCAGTGCTGCATTTAACATACCATGTGGGACACAAAAATTGATGTTTAACTGTGTTTTTAATATTTGCTTTTAAATTAAGAAATTGAGTAACATATAGTACTAAAATTTGAATTATAACCTACAGTTTGATACCAAACTTATTGACATAAATTCATGAAACAGTAGTTCAATAAAATTTTGAATGCGAGTCAACAAAAGCAATGACATGGCCTTTCACCCGTGACCCATCTGGAAAGGGTTAATAAACTGCAGATGGCTGTTGAATAACAAGATGATGTTTTGGCTAATATACTGAGGTCTTCTTCAAGTCTTTGAAGAAGGCCTCAGTATAGATTTTCATTCAAGAAGCAATTACAGTCCATTAAAGTTCTCAAACCTATGATTACTAGGTACATTATGTTTTTTCTTATCTTGAAATTTAAGAAAATTAATAGACATTTTTAACACAAGCTTTAAAACTGAAAATAACTAGATTAGCCCTATGCATTTGGGTGGGTCAAAGTATGCATGTCACAACCTTTTTACAGAGTTATGTTAAAAATGTAACTAAAAAACTTTATTATCAATATATGTCAATAAACTTGGCATCAAAGTATAGTTTACAATTTGAATTTTAATATTATCTATGTTTTAAATTCAAAAGGAGATATTAAAAAATCTCTCAATTTTGACTCTCCTATCACAACACGTATGTGCTCTGACCTTTCTCAGTCAGCTTCAATAATACAGCTTCTATAGTACCTAACCAATTAAAAACAAACTACACATATTGACAAGAAAAAATATGAAATTTGAACCAATTTTCATTTGCTGTTAAACCCACCAGAGAAGCTCCTCCCATCTTTTCACACATTTGAAGCAATTTATTCACTCACACCTACTTGCCTGGTGACATGTTTGTACCCAATAGAAAGAACATACTATAATACAGAATATCTTAAGCTCGTTTGTTTAGTTTCGATGATCAAAGCAAATATTGTGCGGGATAAAACAAATGAATAAAAGCTGAAAAAGAAAAATGAAACAGTCCGAGCTTTTTATATACATATATACATGTATGTGGATAAGAAGGAACCTACAGGGGGACTTCATCTTGCGGAATATATCCTTCTTTTACTCTCCTTGCCTTTCGCCATGATCCATCTGTCCTCTGTGTAGCTGGGATGTAAGTCCCTAGAAAGAGCAATGCAAAATACATAATCTGATTTGAAGAAGCTAAAATGATAAAACAAAGAATAAATTAGAGTAATTTTATTTTGTGGAGAAAAGTTACGCACATAATTATTTAAATGTTACCAAAGTACTTCACCATGCATTATGAATAACTTTTTTTTTTATGAGTGTTAGATCTGACAATTTAGTAAAGGTTCAAATTTACAGGTCAATCACAAATATAAACACACTGCTTTAAAAATAACATATCAAATTAATAAAGAAGCCATTTTTCACCTACGAAAACTAATAAATACAAATATTTTAGGGGCTTTCATTCTTGCTAACTATTTATGTAATAATTAACATTTCACATTAGTATATTAACAGATATGATGTTTCAAATTAGCAAATAGCAAATAAAGTTCATCACATATTTTTTACAAGCCTTCACAATGAGACCACTGTGTTTTAGTGACAAAATATAAACTCATTTTGTTTTATATGCTACATATTATCTATCGGTTTTAAAAATAATGTCATAAAAAATCTACTACTTTTGAAAATATATGACAATTTTGGTTCACTTTTACCCTAAAAGTTCTTGACAGGTTACTGAATGTTAAACTAAATTTTCCCAGTTCCTTTACAGAATATGTTAATACCAGGTTCTACAACTATACCCCTTCCAAGTATATGTAACAATCATTATAAACTCATTTTGAAAATGTGTTATCCCTGGTGCAATTTTTCGTTATTAAACATTGCTATTTATTTCTTATTTTTTCATTTATTGTTGGCTAAACTGTAAAAACTCAAGTAACTTTTCATGAATCACCACCAAAAATTCTAGATTACAAAAAAGGTGCTATGTTAACACCACATAGTATTGAGTTTAATAAACTTTTAAACTTACAATACATTTAAAGATTACAGAACATACAATAAATCAATACTGATTACTTAGTAACACAAACTATCACAAATTCTGTCACTGATCTATAAAAAATTGTTGTGCACACATTAAATTCACATATATGTAAATTTATATTTTACATTTATAAAGCTATTTTACAAAATGTTTACTAGACACCTGTACATCTGCTTGGTCGAGCACAACCTATGCTGGATAGCTTATTTAGGAACTCCTTTAGACTTTGAAGCACACTACTGTAAAAACATATAAAGGATTGATCAATTAACTAAGTCTGTAAAATTAAAGTTTCAATGAATGATTTAAGAGTTACATGGACAGCTTATTTATTCCCTTGTTCTAGAAACACTCCACTGTCATACACATACAGAAAAGAAGGGGTTTGCATTCACAAATCCTATACAGTTTAACATTCAATAAACATTATTTTTTTATATGGAAGAAAAGCTGTTGTACATGTATTTCAGTAAAAATTATCACTGCATTATTTTGATTTAAAAACTGAATGACACAACTACTCAGTTTTTCCATACTATGTAATCAAAATGAGTTAATTTTATAGTTTGTAACTTACTTTGAGCTTTTATTCAACTTATTTCCCCTTGAATGTAACAAAGAATATTATATTTAATTAATTAATATTTAAAGCAGTGTAGCTAACTTGACAAAATCAATTGTAGTGACCCATAAAATACTAGCAAAGTTATTTTTAATCTTATTGTATTGTAATTTCTGAATATATATCTTTATATAAGACTTTTATTTATGCAAGGTTTAAAACATCCATTACATTTCACTTCTCTGAGCTTAAAATAAAAAGATCAGGTTATACCCCAGTATAGCAATTTGAAAAATAAATGAATATTAAAAGTAAATAACAGTTTAATGAAAACGAAAATATCTGATACAAGCTGTCCTTCCTTCTTTTTCAATAGTTTTAATGTATTTTTGGTATTCCAGGCTTGTTATTCCATAGAGAACAGCTGTCATTCCACAACATTCAATTTGTATTTGGTACAGCAGTGTTAAATTAAATTAATTGGGTAAGAAGTTTTAAGAATGTATTTGGTGGTTTTGATGATATACTCTATCACTCTCTTTTCTCCATTATTTGATTACACTTTACAGTGGTAGTACACCTTTAGGCTTTACAGCCAACGTCTGAGTGGTCAAAAAAAATATCTATATCAACTGACACTCAAGATCTCTAGAGTCACACTCATAGTCTCAATGTTAAATTGTTATTAATATTATAAATTTACATATTATTACTATTAGTACTAGGGTCTAACAACAATTACTGAATTAGGTTCTAAAGTCTTACCTTTATAAGTTTATTACACTTGGCTTGGAGTTCATTTACTTCTATTACTGCCTTGTAAATAATATGGTGAGGCAATGTAATAATATCACTCCAAATACGTTTTAACATTAGCCATGGCATTAGTAAATAACTAAGCCGGCTTTACGACCATATACCTATAATTTATAGTATAAGTTACATTATAATTATCAGCATAACGCCGCAAACCCGATTTCGTCAAATATGCTTAATGCATAACACCAATGTTCTTCATGCAAAACTAAAATAACCCTAAATTACTTCTCTTAGTAAGAGAAATCTCTCTATTTTTCAAAATCGCAAAAAAAATACTCTCAACTCACCGGTTTCATCTGTTACATATTGTGCTGCCATTCTAAGGAGACATGGCCTATTTACACTACCTTTCTTTTAGCGATCACTATTGACAAGAATATAATTCTTGCAAAAGATATTTTTCTTACTCTCAAAACTTCTTAAAAAAGACATTTATAATATTCGCACAAAGCTACTTAAAAAATATTTATGTTAACCATCCCTAATTTTGAGCTGATAAACTAAGGAAAAGGCAGGTAGTTAACAGCACTAACCGCCAACTCTTAGGCTACTCTTGTCTGATGGAATAGTGGGGTTTGACCGTCACCCATATAATGCGAACATAGTGCGGAACGCGATTTCTTTCTTTCTGTTTTTTTTCTTCTTTAGTAACGGGACGCACAAACTAAATACACATATCCATAATCCGTCACACCACTGGGAGATGCTTGGCTTACAAAAAGAAGAAAATAACTACAATACTCAATCAAACAATACAAATATACCGCCCATAGATCAACCGACATTAATAGTTGATGGTCGACTTAAAGACAAGTTTTTTGCTTCTCCAACACTGTTCGTCATTAAATGAAAGTACAGTCATTCGAGTTACGGGAAAATGTTCAGAAAATAACTATAGATTTGTTCCGTGAAATCTCTATGTAGCGGTACTTCGTCTTGAACTTTTACCTCAACTTAAAATATTTTAAAAGACAACCATATTTGTTTAATAATGACTAGGAATCCTTGATAGGTGTAATAGCCCAACAATATCAATTTAGTTTCTCCTTTTTATTTTCCTTGTCAAGCAAGTATCACATAAGTAGTCTAATTATATGGATCCTTTACTGATCTTTAGTTAGTGTTATTTAAAAATACGTAAACCCTGGTAAGAATTCATTTAAAGAACTGGTGCTGGTTCTATACCCCCCTCCTAATTAACATGTTGAAAAATATGAAGAGATGGACTAAAAGAAAAAAAGGGTGTTAGTTACAGGTAGACGGTTAAACTCATACTTTGATTTGTTTTCTTCAGACCGTAGTAGAAGAATTAAAGGTGACTTGATATAATATAGTTTTAATTTTCAGTGGCCTGGACAAACTATAGTGTACTTTTAGTGTACATATTTCCAAACTTTTTTTCATGTGAGGTGAGGGTGGGTTGTTTGAATTTCGCGCAAAGCTACACGAGGGCTATCTGCGCTAGCCGTCCCTAATTTAGCAGTGTAAGACTAGAGGGAAGGCAGCTAGTCATCACTACCCATCGCCAACTCTTGGGCTACTCTTTTACCAACGAATAGTGGGATTTACCGTCACATTCTAATGCCCCACGGCTGAAAGGGCGAGCATGTTTGGTGTGACGGGGATTCGAACCCGCGACCCGCAGACTGCGAGTCGAGCGCCCTAACCACCTGACCATGCTGGGCCGAGGTGAGGGTGGAAGACATGTTAATGTGAAGAACTATACTTTGTTTAGTATTTACATTTTGATTACTTTTTCCGGTGTTTGGACAGGTTACGTCGACAGGCTGAAAGGTATCTCTGTTTTAATATCTCCAGGTGAGTCAGCGATATGTTCACGGACTTACAACGATAAAATATGGAGTTCTGTTACCCACGGTGGACAAAGTTAAGGTAGCCTACTATGTAACTTTGTGCTAAAACAAAACCAACAAACAGGGAAAAAACAAACAAACAATGTTTTATAATGGCTAAAATGTTAGTGTAAATATCAGTAACTTGAATATAAGCATTTCACGCAGACTTCAATAATTGTCCATAACTGTCTCCCCAGTGGTGTAGTGTCTGGCAACCCTGAGACCAAAATGGGCATTATTTATATAGATATCTGAGGCCTTTCCCAGTCAGAGTAACCCAACGCCAGCACTGGTCGAAGCCATGTGAGACTAGCCAAGAGAGACTGTAGGTGCTGTGGTTGGAAGACATCCGCCAAAAGTAACCATATCATTAGCAGGTGAAAAAGCAGGCACCAAATGGTGAAATAAGTGGATCATGGGACAGTGGTGAACTTCTTCGAGTTGGGAGGTAAACTGGTGAAACAACAATGGATCACAATTAAACCTGGACTTGTGCAGAGCCAATGGATGAGTTGCTGAGCACACCATGTCGTTCTGCTGCCTTACAGTACTGACGTACCACTCAATAGAATGTCTTGGTCCACGACTATGCCAATCACACTGTACCCTTAATGTTTAGGATGTCTCAGCCTAGTGTTCGCTGAGAGTCCACAGAAGAAAGGCCAAGTAGATTTCTTCTTCAACATTTAAGGGTACGGCCAAAGAAAGTCTTGGGTACCCCTTTAATGACTTCAGACAGGTCACTGTTTGGAATGAACAGGTTCAATGATAGGCAGTGCAGTTTCTGATGCTGAACCTGTATCGTTCAGTGTTTGATTCAATCAAGCAGTTAGATAAGGAGAGAAAAAGCTGAGAGTACTTGTTTGGCTATTCACAGCGAGCCGATGAGGAAGAGCTGGATTTAGAAGTGAGACACAAATCTCATAGTCAGCCTCCCAGTTGATGTGGCTGAAATTAAACCTAGTCATGAAGTAGCTAGGACAATCATTTGGTCAAAAAACGAATGATTGAAAGGAAGTAATATTCCTTGCTTTTCAAGGTGATTGGTGGTGTTGTGAAGTAAAATGTATGCACTACAGTGAAAGCTCATTAATCCAAATACATCTGTAATGAAATAATATATCAAGACTACTGAGATATTAGGGTAGTCAAAATAGTCATTCTAAATACAATGGACATTATTAATAGCATGCATTATTGAATGATAAATGTAAAGCTGCAAACTAGTGATTGTGGAAGTGCAACTGGTAAACAAAAAGGAACTACTCGTATATGAATAAACGTAGCAGTTTTTACTCTGTATGTCGTCAATAATGATATAAAATGCACAACCAAAGTAATATTTTATTATTTTTACATAAAACATCATTTCATTTAAACAATGACTTACTTACTAAATACAAAATACACTGTATTGATCAAATGTACAACAAATCACTTTTCAAAGAAGAATCAATCATAGTCTGCTTTTGAACACAAAATGTTTTTTTCTGTAGATCCTCAGTTGCTTTAAATTTAATCAAGTAGCGAATTATATCATTATCTTTACATAAACCATTTTGTTGGCTACTGTGCTTTATTCAGACTGACTGCTTCAAATGGTGGATAATTTTTTTTTATATTTTTTTAATTCGCTGTACCACACTCTTAAAGAGACATGCTAGAAATGGTGCTTTCAGCTCACAACTCTAGACCAGTTGATTCTGTTGAGTTGATGTTGGGCAACTGATCAACTAACATAGCATCATTGTTACTTTAGATTAAGGTATGGATTCAGCAAACGTCTTAGCGATTTTGACATCTCCAAAGGTTCAACAGTTCCACTCTATTAAGGCTATAGTAGGTAAAATCTTGTCATGCTTGAAGTAATTTTTGATAGTTTCTGTAGTAATAATGGATCAGGCAAAACTTACATACCATTTGTGAAGCCTCACGTACATTCACTGTTTGTGGATCATTATTTTCAGCATATTCTATGTACCTTTGAATCAGTTGATGGTAGCAGTAAGCTTTGAATGACATGATTATGCTAGCATCCATAGGCTGTATCATTGAGGCATTCTTTGGTGGTAAGTGTTATAGAGAATTCTTGATCTGGTGCAGCATGACTACTAGAAATGTCCACAAGGGAAATGATTTTTCTCTTCTTCGAGAGCATCCTTTGTTTCAAATCCTCCAGTCATTTCAATGCTGACATCATCCAGCTTTATTCCCACTTGTATCTTGCATGGATAGCAGGGTTGAATTCTCCCCCAAAGCATCTTTTTTATTTAAGTTTCACAATCACAAATGACTGTAACTTGTCACTACCACTTGCATTGTAATACAAAGTAACTGTTATGAGATCTTTAGATCTTTTTTTTTTACCTTGAACTTGTTGGCTTGCCAAATAAAGATTAGATCACAACTTGTAGAAATAAACCAGTCTAATATAGATTGTAGATGTCTCCCAGTTCACATCCTGCCAGAACCTTTCATAGATCTTCTTTACTTCTGCTTCACTTTCCAAGTTTGTGTTCTTTATTCCAAATTGTCCTTTGAAATGTTACAGTCATTATCTGTAGTTTCCAATCTCTGTTACCCCAAGCTTCTGTCCTAGTTCATTAGCTTTCTCAATAAACATTTGATCGTTAATATATGCATTTCTTGATGTAGCATCACACATCGTAAGATACATAGCTTGATCTATGTTGTATGCTTTGAATGTCTTGCTCTTGTTTGATGATCTGAATCTTCTGGAATATTTATCCACTTTTCTTTGCTGCAAAGAATGTCACATATAGTTGAATTGACCATAAGAACACTTCTTTTTACGCTGAAATGCCTACTGATGGAACCAAAGCTTACACTTGAATTTTAGTTCTTGTATAAACAAACATCATATTTTTATTTTAATGTTCATATTTCTACGCATCTTTGTTTTGGAGCACTGTGACTTGATATGTCTGTAGAACATATCGCTCTGATGGCTTTTTGATATCTGTTACAGTTTAAATGTACATCCCTAGTGTGAAGGTATTATTCAGAAAAACTGTTATAAACCGAATGCAAGTGAAGGTCGTTCTCAGAAAAATTGTTGAAAATTGGTACTTACTTAATTGAAAAGTATTAGAGTAGTTGAATTCTGTTGATGATTAATTATGATGGCTGAAAAAACCCGTTTTCAGTTTGATGGCGTTTAGTTGGAAGCAGATTACTTTACCTTGATTATTAAAATATTATGTGTATGGTGTATGAAGTACTTTTTTGTAGGAGCCAATGAGTTTATGTGACAATGTGTAATGAAGATATGTGTATATGGCAATATATGTGTATATTTGATGACACAGTCTACCTGTTAGTGAAATAATGTTTTGATTTGGAGATTAAAATATTTGTCTGATAATGAATTTATCATGGAAGGATAAGAGTAATGGAGAGACTCACTCTACATCTGAGAGAAAACACTTGTCTTTCGATAAGAGTAGTGCAAAATATTTGATTGGATTGAATTTAAATGTTCAAGTGGGTGAAATT